CACTATCTTGGTATGAATACAAGTATATAGTTAATAAAGTAAATAACAATAAACAACTTTTTGCATTTCGTTATATGGATGATCTATTAATCATACACAATAGCACTGAACCTACAATTCATAATATAATCAAAAACGTATATGATAACAAACTAAGTTTAGAAACTACTCATATAGATAATTTACATTGTAATTATTTGGACTTACATATTACAATCATTAATAACAGAATCACAACTAAAATGTATAACAAAACTGATAGTTTCCCTTTTCATGTAATAAGATTTATACACATCACTTCTAGTGTATCCAATCACATCAAAAACGCACTTGTTTACACAGAAACTTTAAGAGTTGCCCGTACTTGCACTTATCTTGACGATTTTGTCAAAAAAATACTACAATTACGAAACTTACTTATTTCCAATGGATACAATGAAAACATGATTTATACAAATATTTTCAAATGCTTACATAAGAATAATTTTATAATATATAAATACGAATTTTACAATTACGATAAAATTAAAAGATTATTACACATTCTACATCAAAATTTACACAATATATAGTTAATTGATGTTATATATGTCTTATACCAGCCTTTAATTCAATTAAGCTCTTTCATACGATCCTAATCAAAGCACATATCATTAATCAGTATAGTTATTTCAATACACATCTACTACAGACAACCAATTTAGTAAAGTAGTCTATCAAAATGACTAACATCATAATAAATAAAACCAACTACAAAAACACTAACATGTTTCATTTTATCCTCTAGTCTACCAATATGGTCACTACTATAGTTTATAGTAAATGATTAATATATATAATATATCATATATTATTATATATAATGAAAGACGGAGTATAAAAATTGTAAGTTCTTAAACTTCATCTATTTCAACAACATTCAAAAAATTTTATCCTAAAACTATTTCGAAATACACAGGACTCGTGAACTCTCCTTCCTTACTGATGAGTTCCGGGGAGAGTTCTGAGCTCCTTTACTCCGTCTAAGGACAGGAACGAAACGGAGTTAAATTAGTTCACTGAAAAATTGATTTTCATGTTAAACAAATTACGGCACCACATTTTGTATATAACTATCTCTATTTCTATTTCTATTTCTATTAGTATTCTAACACTTCTCTTTATTATTTGTATCAATGTGTACTGAATCCTGTTAAACTTTTTCAAAGCCATCAGCAAAACCTTCAGCTTTGTCAAGGTCTGAAGTCATGGTATTCCCCCGTGTCGGATATGATCACACCCATTTTTTTCCTTTCTTTGATTCTACCGTTGAGCAAGCGAAAGAATGCGGTCCTATCTCCCTCTTTAACTGTCTTATTTTCTAAGTAGGTATTATATTTCTTAAATCTTTTTTCAAACCTGGCGTTTACCCTTTTGAAAGCAAGCAAATCCTCTGCTTGGCCAGTAGCTATAAATCTAAACCAGGCCGACTCGCGTGCTCTAAACAGTCTTTCAATGTGGACTGGTAATTTAGGTCCACTTGATGGGACAGTTTTTAGCGGAATGAAAAGAGTGATTGCATGTTGGATTGCAAAAATCAATAGTTCATACATTTCATTGACCGTTGTGACTACTCCAAATGATCCAATCCAAACTAGACTCGAGATATCTAATGGCAGCCTCAACATATTCGGTTTTATAATCCCTTTTCAAAACAATATCACCAACGGGACCACTTACATAACGTATGTAAAAACTAAGTAACAAGTGATCACTTGTTCCGATAGGAGGTTCAACCCTGACCTCAGTAACCAGCGACTCATCGTTGGTAAGTACCAAATCGAGAGTGTTTTGCCCATGGGTATGATGTCTAACCTTTTGAACGAGGTTCTGGCTCAGAAACATATAAAAGTTCCTTGACATGGAGTTGCCCCATTAGCTTCCAACGTATTCCAATCAATATCAGGGAGATTGAAATCTCCCAGTAGGATAGTCGAGAAATTCATGGCCATCAAGTCTGAGAGGGCCTTGATCAACTGATCGAAAATGGGACGTGGGCAGGAGGGCGTTCTATAATAATACCAATATTATTCGATCTTTTCTCGTACTGGTATGAATGTCTACACAAAGTAACTCATAACCATCAATGATCGACTCACTGAATACTAAGAGTGGGCACAGAGCCTTACTTAGCAGTAAGGCTACACCACCGCCCCTTTTGAACTTGCGATCACATCTATCACCTGTATCACCTGTATCCCCGTTGATCATCGTGTTGCACGAGCGGGTACCAGTGATGCCTCCATTCGTCCCTGTCTCGGGCGATTGTTGACCAATGTTTACGTATCGCACTAGGAACACGTGGAACGCTCTGAAGGACTTCATTAAAGGACTTCGTGAACATATCTGACCATCGCGTCGGCGGTCTTCCTCGTTCGTGTTTGACGTCCAGTGGTATCCAATCTGTTACAGCTCTCGTCCACCGGTTGTCGTCGAAACGCATTACGTGCCCGGTCCATCTTATCTTGTTCTGCTTGGCGTACGCGGCAGCGTCCCTGATCTTCGATCGTTGACGTAGGGTAGAACTTCGTAATCCTTGCCTCACTTGCGTGAGTCGATTCACTCCTAGCATCACTCTCTCAACAGCTCGTTCGATGACGCTAACCGCGTGTTCATCCTGCTTTCTCATTGTCCATGTTTCTGAAGCGTACGTCAAAGCAGGAAGAACCGTCGAGTTGAAAAGGTGGGCGCGGAGCCGGATGTTCTTGGTCTTCTTCACTACGTCCTCAATTGTCTTATATGCTCCCCATGCTGCACGTTTCCTCCTGCTCAGTTCCGGAGCTAGATCGTTCATCATATTGAGTTCACGACCTAGGTAGGTGTAGCTTGAGCATTCGATGATGTTCGTCCCGTTGAGCATGAAAGGAGCATCAGGCACTCTTCCGTTCCTCATGAACATCGTCTTCGTTAGATTCAGCCGTAGACCGATCTTTTCACACACTTCGTCAAACTGGGCCAGCATTTGTTCCGCCTGCGTGACGTTTGGTGTTATCAATACGATGTCATCAGCAAAGCGAAGGTGGTGTAGCTGCCGGCCGTCGACTTTCACTCCCATGTTGTCCCATTCCAACTTACGCATGACGTTCTCCAGAGCGGCACTGAATAGTTTCGGCGATATAGTATCGCCCTTGTCGCACGCCTCTCTTCACGTCAATGATGATGTCCTTGTAGAATGGTGTTATGGTGGTTGTGAAGTCGTTATACAGCTCACGAATTATCTTGATGTAATGAGTCGGAATACCTTGATTGCTCAAGGCATCGATGACGGCTTCAGTCTCAACCGAGTCAAAGGCCTTCTTCAAGTCGATGAAGGTGAGACAGAGCGGCATCTTATACTCTCGTGACACTTCAATGAGCCTTGACACCGTGTGTATGTGGTCGATCGTGCTGAATCCTCTTCGAAACCCAGCTTGCTCGCATGGTTGTCCTTCGTCCAACTCTCTTCCGATCCTGTTGAGAATGACTCGCGTAAAGAGTTTGTAGACTACAGACAACAAGCAGATAGGGCGATAATTGCCGATGTCGCAGGGATCTCCCTTCTTGTACAGCAACACGGTTTTGCTGGTCTTCCATTGCCTTGGAACCTTGCCTTCCGTCAGGTACCGCGTGAAGAGCCTTGCCAAAGTCTTGATGAGAACTGGCGAACGATTCTTCAGATGTTCTGGCTTAATCCTGTCGGGACCGGGTGCTGTACGGTTTTTCATCGACATGATAGCATGACGAATCTCGGAAGGAAGAACAGACGGTGCGACATACTCGTCCTCCTTGAGATGGCATGGTGGAAGGTGGACGTGGCTCGCAAAAAGATCCGAGTAGAAGTCGTGGATGACCTTCTCCATTGATCTTCGGGAAGCAGTTATGGTTCCGTCAGGACGACGAAGTGCGGTCATCTTTGTCTTGAAGTTGACGAAGCTTCGGCGGGCGTTGCGTATACTTCTTCCAGCCTCCGCGGCGTCAACCATCACTGCTACTCTTCTCTCCTTAAGGTCTTCTTTTATCGCTTCTCTGCATCGCTTCGCAAGCTCGGACGTCAGTCGGTAGTTGCCTGTGGCTCGTGCGCGTCCACGTTGGCGTATCAGCTCCAAAGTCCCCGTGGTGAGACGCCTTCTCGTACTTCTTAGACTCTGAGCTTCCTTGGCACAACCGTGGAGATGTTGTACGAACCGTTCGTATTCTTCGTCGATGTTGTCCATCACGGTATCTCGCCATGAGCCGGATATCGAAGAAAACAGATCCCAGTTGGTGGTATTCATGGGACGATGTTTCCTGAACTTGACGGCTCTCTCTCCATTCCGCGAAAAGTAGAATTTGGCGCGCAGGAGACGATGGTCTGATCCCGTGTAAAACTTGAGATCACATCTATATATCTCGTAAAATCTGCACAATTCGCCAAAAAGGGCGGCATCGGATATATCATAGCTTGCGTTCAACCAGGTCTCTGTAATCCCGCATATAAATGGCAAGGTATTAGCGAGGAGGAATGTGAGCATAGATAAATTTTTTTGCAATGATCTTATATTTGTCAGAAAACACAAAAAAGACGAAAAAGAACTATCTTCTCTCCGAGGAATAACTATGCGTTTAAAGAATCAGCAAAATCAGTATGGGAAGAATGATTGATGACATCCATATGACTATTAGCAGAAGGGGAAACATGGGAAACATGAAAATCAACATTTTCATTTCTGGAAACATTCGCAATCCTTTCTCTAGCTTAAGCTTTTCACGCTCCGCTTTCGATAAGGACGCCCTAATGAACATTCCTTTTTTGTAAGGAAATTTCTTCATCAGATAAGCTCTCTTAAGTGTTAGTCCAACAAAAAAAGTTGAAGGCATTACTACTTTAAGCAATCTATCCCGCGAAAAACTAGGTCTCCCCATGCGGTAAATTGCAATGGGGGCACAATCAATATTCAAAAAATCGAAAATCTGACAAACACAATTCGAATCATGATTAACTCTTACGCTGCTTGGTCCACCACGATATTCCGGAATTCCAGCCAGTACCAACGATCGTCTTCTTTCTTGTTCCTGCCATCCAATTTGATCCACGGCGGTTTGACTCGGAAGATTTGTTCCGATTTGATCCACAGAAGTTGATTCGGCTTCCGACTGGTTCTTTGATCTGAGAGATAACCTTAATCTATCGTTTTCGGATTTGAGCGAAGTAATCTCACCAGATAATTTTTTCACTTCGTCCATCAACTCACGATTGCTTCTGACAATCGACTCCATTTGTTTGCGACTTTCCAGCAAGTATCCGATTATAGTCCTAGCATATAGCGGGAAATTATCGTCCAGCAATAGCGAATTGGCGGCCTCGTCCAAGTCAGGGGATCGTGGAGGCGTTTCATCAAACTGCAGCCTTCGTTTTCGCTGGCGGTCCACAGAAGGAATTGGGTAAACCGGTGTATCCTTGACCATAATAACAGCAGTGTAGGGCGATTTCCTTCAGTAGTTCGACTACGAATACAAGACGAATCGATCCTTGAGCGGGGATAAGGAAGAACCAGGGATAAGGAAGCTGCTGAGCCGGGGAAGGTATTGGACGGAAGAGGGATCGATGACCCGACCGCTCAGCGCGCGCGAATGTGTCGAATGAATTTTTCTTGTGAAAGTTCCAGACAAACCATTTGGATAGCAAGTTTTCAATATAAGAGCTTGGCGTGATCACCAGGAATGAAAACTGTTAGTTTTTTCGATGAATTTCTGTTGCCAAAGGTGACTTACAAAATTGCAGACGAAGCAGAGTAGAGCAAAGCGGGAGATCAAGAGGTAGACTCTTCCGGCTACATGAGGTGGCCGATCCCCCGGGTGGAAGATTGCCATTTGGAAACGGTGGATTTTTCTATTTATTCTACAAGTTTTTCAATTACACGTGATCTCCTTTGCCATCCAGATGTTCATTCAAATAACTAATTGTACATTGTCATTGTTTTAGATGTCACTGAGACGAAGGTTCAGTTACCCAAGTTTCAGGCGACGCCATATCGAACTCTGTACGGCAGCTAAGCGATTAAAATGCCCTGCAAGTTTTCTGCTCAGCTCATTCCCTGCTCAGTTTTTGTGATCATATGTGCTCTAAAGAAGAGATAAACGTATAAAAACAGCGTTTCATTTCCTTGGTAATGAAATTTCATTTGGCAGATCACCTGAAAAAATAGCTATTTCCTCTCTGGAAAACATCTACTTGGTAGTTTGAGCTTTTCATTCTCTTAGATGTTTCTTTTCCATTACATGTCTTCCTGCATGATTAATCGAATGTCATGCATAGCTTAAAGTGCAAATGAACACCAATTCCATCTGCTCCAATGCTTTGAAGTTGATTGAGCTTGCACTACGTCAAGCGCTATGTAATGAGATTGTAGCTGTCATCATTCCGTCAGCTGTCTCTCTGGGCTTTTTCATCAATTATGTTTTTTTAATATAAAATGAGCTTTGACCTTTGAATGGAGATGATGTTGTAAGTTGAAGCTTTGATAAAAATTTCTAACAAAAATGTTGGGGTACCAAAAGTCTTTGATATATCTTTGTAGGGCTTAACCTATATAAAGTAGAATTCGTCCTGTCTTGACATGGCCAACAAGATTGTTCGATAAAAAGTACATCCATGTTTCTCGGATCTTTCGTTTTTTCATAATTTTCCTTCCCTTTCTCCCTTGATTCTATTAAGCTTTTCTAATCACTTTAACACCAGGGCTCGGCACGAGGTGGCTTAGGTGGCTTTTAGGAAATGCAAAAAACGAAGTCCCTCTTGAATTCCGCGATTTTTTACGAAGTCCACTTTGACCCCAAATCCTAATCCTAAGAAACCTCAAAAAAAGAAGCGTCGACTAAAAAACTTGACATTCTTTGTGTTATTTCGGCCCCAAAAACGATACCCCCTTTACTTCTCCCAAAAACGATATCTAGCTTACATACAAGTCACGAGCCCTACTTTAACACAGATAATAATTTTGCAATAATTTCAGAACTGTACAATCACGCGGAGAGCTAAAACTGCGCAGTCTTTTTGGAAAGATATCTAAATTAGAGGCGCTACTTAAATCAGAATTTCAATTTTTATTTTTCTAGAAAAAAAGTTGACTTGCAAAAATCATAGCTAGAGACATTATCTCTCTCAGACGTTTCTGTTTTTTTTCTTAACAATGGAGCTGATAGGATCTTAGGAAATTTTCCACAAAATGAAGTTTTTGGAATGAATTGTGGAAGTTGCTATTGTATCCATAGCAGAAAAAGCAGTTTCTCGTATGAAACTATAGGATAATCAAGCTGAATTCTTTTTCGTAAGTGCACATTAAAATTTTGAAAAGCAATTTAATTTCCGATGAAATTGTCAATATTTCAAAACACTGTTTTTCATCAGTGACAGTGTAACTGCTTTCGTAATTAGTGCGGCATGCAAAGTACCACTCGAGGTCTTCGCAAAGCTCCTTGAATTTCCCATTTTCGTCGTTCAAAGACATCTCATTCCCTAAAGCAAAAAGGCAGAAATTCTATTATCAAAAATTTTGTTCATTCAATTTTTTTTCATATTTTGAGCTTACTGGAGCAATATTGTCCCATAGTTTTGTACAAATACACTCTGAAAATTTGTTCAAAAAATTGTTTTAAAAACGTTAATATGTGCATCATGTTTTATCCAGTCTATATCATGTTGGAATCCATTATAAATTGGCAAATTAAAAATTGGAAAAAATTCTGGAAGTAACAAACATTCGCAGCGTCATCTGAGCGGCACAACTTTCTCTTAAAAAGGTCATAAGACTTAGCTAAGAATACGAATTTTAATCTATCTCGTGACATCTTTACACCCTTTTCCAAAATTTCTCAGTTTGAGTGATTTTTGCTAGTTTCTATCACTGGGAATTGCCAAAAATGATTTTCACTCAAAGCAGAGAGTTCACATAATTTTTTAGACTGAAATATTGAGTTGACAAATAAATATTTTGATTGTTTTTGCGGCGTTCCTGCAAATGCTGCAGGCAAGTTTGTCCAATGTTTGGCATCCTGGAAAGAGCAATCAGTAAGGGAGACGTAAACTCGTTTTGAGTGGAATTTATTTTCTAAAAAATGCGCAGCGAAGTAGATACCGCAGTTTTCTCACTGTACGCCAGTGCAAGAAAATCTCATTTCTTCAATGGAAAAATTTGAAAATTGCAGATCACAATTTTTATTGTTATTTACTGAATAAATACCTGGTTGTGTCTTGATACTGATTTACTCATCTCTACTCCATCAGGAAAAAAAGCTAAAAAAAGGAATCGAGTTTCTGAAAATTTTGCCATAATGGGGCATAAAATCCTATATCTTTGATTACCCTATTTTCAAGTGCATAAGCCGCACCTTGTTTGCTCTAAAGGTGAGTACGCCAAAAGACTGCCTGTTGCCACGGGGCGCGTCAAGTGAGAGCCGACCGCTTTGCGAGACACATGCGCAGCGACACGCCTGGGTCTGTTTGCGTTTAGAGCAGTAAGGATGCGGCTTGTACACCTTAAAATAGGATAGTAAAAATTTCTGAGTAGTTGATATGTGATAGTAGAAGCTTTGGACTACTTCTTTCTAAAAATAAACATTGATAAAAAACAACAAGAAAAGTTTTGAGGAGATCTGCATGTTAGAACGAAATGTTTTCTATGACCAACCCTTAAACAGATTCAAAATTTTAAGAGAAAATATAGTTGAAAAAATATAGTTTATCTGCAACTCTTGAGAAAACCCAAAGTAGTTCAAATTTTTTTTTCTATGAACTAATGAGTGATGCAGGAGCAATTTTCAAGCGTTTGCGTCGAAGAAATACCGCCCATTATGTTCTTGCACTTGCGTAGTCAATTACTTCCTCTTCGCTATGTTCTCTTACCTACGGCAATCTCTCTTATTTATTTCCATAGCTTTTAAGTGCACTTCAGCAGAATTTAGTGCTCGAAAAAGAAGCCTCTAAATCTCTTTCCGCTAATTGAATGTGAAGAGATTAGTCAAACTCCATGCATTTTTAAAATTCAAATCTTCAGATAAAGTTTTTTCAGAATTTGCATTTCACTTGGAAAAATTATTAATAGGGTATCTATAACTATAGGAGAAGATAATGCTAACAAGATCGCTCTCTCCTTTTCTTGGTTCCCGTCTAGAATAAATTATTTACGTCACTCAATCAAATATGTGTGCAATTTGCGCGGCACCTGGATTCTGCTGCCCAGACGGCTTTCTTCGGAATCTTTGATCACTGGAGGTTCGTAGACTAGTTCATCCATTATAACAGCTCTTTTCAAAATTTGATTGATTATATCAGGTTGTCCGGAAATTAATGCAGGCTATAAATTCCAACCGCAATAAGTCATATACTTCTCATTTCTAAGTAGGTTGCAGATTACCATTCGATAGAACAAAGCAAGCTCTACAATATGGCTATCTCGCTTTACCAACAACTCTAATTTACCACAAGTTTCGAGCCAAAAACTAAAAAGATTCAATTGCTCGAAAAATTGAGAAAAATCGTAACTCAGTCCATAAAAATCCTACAAAAATTCTAACTCGCTCACGTGAATACAATCTACATAAAACATCTATATACGCCGTTGCCGTATTTTTTCTCTGTTAGAAATCAAGAAAACGGAAATTTTTGTGCGTTTGCCAAAATGGTGCTGTGCCGTTCTCACATAAGTAGTTGTATACTACAAACCTGTAGAAGTACAAATGTAAATTTCCAGCTCTCTACATGCTTTAGTTCTCGAGAAATATCTAATATAGTTTTTCCTAGTCATGTGGTCCAAGCTAAAATTCAAATTTTTCGAGAACTAAAGCTTGTAGAGAGCTGGAAATTTACGTTTGTACTTCTCAGGTTTGTAGTATACGACTACTTATGTGGGAACAGCACAGCACCACTTTGGCAAATACACGGAAATTTCCGTTTTCTTGATTTTCAGCACAGAAAGAAAATACGGCAATGGCGTATATAAATGCTTTATGTGAACTGTGTTTACGTGAGCAAGATGAAATTCTTGTAGGACTTTTATGGACTGAGTTACGATATTTTTTTCGAGCAGTTGAATTTTTTCAATTTTTAGCTCGAAACTCGTAGTAAATCAGAACTGTTGCTAAAGCAAGATAGCCATCTTATAGAGCTTGCTTTGTTCTATCGAATGATGCTTTACAATCTACTTAGATTAAGAAGTGTATGACTTTTTGCGGTTAGAATTCAAAACGGACATTAATTTCCGGACAACCTAATATAATGGACCAAGCGTTTACTTACTCACTTCCAGATTTCTCCTTTCCTAACCAAATCTCACGCTCGTAAAGTACGATTTCCATAAATTATACTCTGCTTCCATAAATCTCGGTAATATACTCTTCGCATCTAAGCTTAAGTATTAGGTCGGGCCGAAAGTTTTGTCGCACCATTTCCAAAAATTCACGACTTCTGA